AAAATAAATTATTAGAAATTAAAAAAATAACAAACTCATAAAATCATAAGTGGAAAGATTTTATCATGAAATGGAAAGTTTTTGTTACATGTTATCGATAATAATGACCGTTTCCATTGATTTGATCACTTCCTGCTGCTTTCTAACAACCCAAGTAACACTCCCCAGTATATATATATATATATATACTGGATAAAGGAAGTAAGCAACGTGATTTCTAAAACCCAACACTAACACATTTTGTTTAAATTGTATGTTATTATGCCACAGCTATAAATATGGTGCGGGTAACTTAAAAAGTAATACTCATTGATATGAAACAGTATCAAACTAATATTTTTTACATTTTTTAGAATCCATTTACAAATTCACATTCAAAATTAAAATTAAATAAGCGACATCATCCTCCACAAATGTTTGATTAGAAAACCGACTTAACTAAAATTTTCTTTCATGTCCATATAAACTGATTTTTGAAATACACTTAATAAATATGCTTCTATACACAACATTTAGAGAGATCTATAAATTTAAGTCCTTTGCAATAATCTGATCTGTACGACCAGATTTTCACGTTGATGAACAAGTACTGCATATAGTTATCGAAATTGTGTAGTTGTCATTATGGCATAAGAGCTGATGAAATCATATATGAATAATGTAACATGTATAACAAAAACTGATGATAGATTAATCGGAACATTATTTGTTATGATATTAGTAGTTGGGTTTCGACTAATGAATTCAGTATCGTCTTTATATTAAAATTTTATTCTTAAAATTCAATCTGAAATAATGAGCTTTAGCTTTTCGTCTTATCAATACACTTGTAACTAGTATTTAAGTATTATATTAATTAACATCGTCGAAATTGCATCGTTTTACATGATGGTTTACTGGTAGTAATCAGCACTTTTATGAATCACAACTGTTGAGCTTAGTTAAGGCTTATTAGTTCGAACTGACCGGCATTTACTCAGTGACTACAAAATTAGTTCATCAAATCACTTAAAATATTAACATTACTTGATTACTCTTGTTACCGCTATTAGAGCATAAGCTGCAAAATATTAACATGCTAATATTTAATGAAGTAGATTTGTGGATATTGTTTTACTTTTATAATTAAAATCACGAATTAATCTAAGCTTAGATCAGTTCGTGATTTGAATCCACTTATGTTTCCTTCCCAAAAGCGTTATACTTGTAGTAATGGATTATTTAAAGTAGGCGATCGGCCAATAACATGCAAATTGGGATACTAAACTTGTTAGTTATGTACAGCTGGAAAAATATTATTTTTCTCCTTTATTTTTTCCCCTTTGTTCAGATGAGACTTTTTACATAACTCACATAGTTCAACGACTACCACAACAAGATGGAAAAAAACGCAGCAAAGAGCAAGGAATCGAGCTTAACCTACAGATAGAAGTATTCCGAAATGGATAATAATAAAACAGTAGTCATGCTGCTTAGCTCTGAGAAATTTTGTGTTCATAAAATTAAACTTATGGAAGGCTTTCACTGGGATAATATATATTCATTATAAAACACTACACAACTGGGATAATATATATTCATTATAAAACACTACACAACTAAATAACTGAATTACTTGACTTCTAACTGTTAAGAATCTTTTCAGCCATGTAAAATATGTTTAGAAAAACACGTTTTCGTAAACGAAGCTTATTTCAGAGGAGAGAGGATACATGTAACACAAACGTTTTAAAATAAAGTTTTGATAGTCTTAGCATATTTGTAGGACAGTCAATGGAAATTAATCCTACTGAACATGATGATAAAAAGCCTACACTGAATTATTGTTTTTATTTAATTCGAAAGAAAGACATGTGATTCGTTTCAACAATCAACATTTTTTCCCTCTAGATAGCTAACTATTTTTTATAAAGTTTGTTTTCAAAAAGTTCGGTTAGATTTGCACTTTTTAAAATTTACAAATCGATTTGTCACATCAAACCAACTTAGACAGTTTTATTTTAAAAACAAATACAACCAAGTTATTTTATGTTATACTTACATGATTGTAACATTTGACAGGAAAAATGTGGTCTAAAACATAGTAGGAAAATTTAAATAATATTTGTACAAACTATGCATACTGTGCGCTTATTTAAATAAAAACTCTACATCAAGAAACTATAACACATTTAAATAACCCAAGCTTCCCTTTTCTTGCTTAGTAATCTTTTAGATGGTGAAATGTGTAAATTCTAATTATCCGACTCATGACATTAGAATAATCTTGCTGTATTTGATAGCATATGAAATCGAAACATATAGCTGAGTTTGTTACACATTGTTGATGTGGTGAGCAAATACTTAATTGATTGGATTACGAGCAACACACGAAAAAGATATCTTTCTCAATCGTATGTGATATTTATTCACAATTTGGGAAGAAGTCATGTTTCGTTCTAATCAACCGCACGCGTATGCTCAGTCTCTAGATCACTGGAGCAGCATCCAGAGGTCCTAAAGTCTAACGATATTAAGCAACCATCATCTTTTTGGATGCAGTGGATAACTGTCTTACATCTGATACAGACTGAACTCCATCCACTAAGCACGGCTTCTCAGTGATATTCTAGCTAAGAGCGACTTGTGAGTCAAACCATAGAAAGTATTGATCAATGGACGTTAATTACCATGAATTTCTATCGATAACGATATAACTGGTAGTTCGACTGTAATTGAATCGAATGAAATGTATTACACACGTATATTGTATTGATTTATTTCAGCTGTCAAATTAGTCCTCGTTTACTGCCTTAGTGTTCTTATATCTGACAACCAATTCACTTTTTTCAGTAGCAGCTATAATTTGAATGCTGCGTTGACTTAATAATCAGTCTTTACATACCACAAAAACCCGTCCTAATCTAAACTCATTCAACCTAAATACTCAGTCCAATTGGCTAAGTTATTCTTTAATCACCTAGAACGATAAAATTTACTACTCTTGGAACATAATAGGAAAATAAGTTAAAATCACTGATCCATACAATCGTAAAAAAGACATTCTTTATCAATCATCTTAACTTTTCTAAAGTACAAAAACTGAATAGAACAGTTAATTCAGCCCTTAGAATGCAGTGAGTCAATAATTTCATGAAATTACATTCACTTTTAAATGCACATTTATTAGAAAGGTGTGTTTATTTCTAAACAAAGTTTTAGACTTTATTTATTTTTATTTTTATCTAAATGAATTTATAAAGCGATATATTGTTTCTGAGAGTTAAATTCCTTTAAATACTACTTAAAGTTTACTTATAAACGTAAAAAAGTCATTTTACTGGAAGGAAAGAATCAATAGTAAAGATAATTATATCTTGTTTTTAGATGCAATCTAAATGAAATTGTTTGTTTTTAATATACAAATGAAAGATCATTCTCAATAATAATTTTCTAAGAGCAGAGAGTCACTTTCATAGCTTCTGCCTTCTGTACTACCGTCAAAATTATCTCCTATCCTACTTACGACAAACGATTCTACTGTGCTTGCATGCACACGTACAAATTGCCTAAATAACATTAAGAATAGTGATATAAATAGAACCTAAATATTATGAACAATATTATTTAGTATTTTTACTGACAAATAAAATCTATGTTGATCAGTAAGCTATAAATTAAGTTGAACATACAATTTGTTGCCTATGTAATTGACAGTGATGAATCTTCCATCTGATATATTTATTCTTTTGTTTTTCCTATATATACGAAAACTATTATGTACGTAAACAAATCCTATATTTACGTAAATAATATTTGTAACTTCATCAACATATATACTTATTATCGGTAGATCATTGTTGATTCAAATCATCTCGATGATTTAAACAAAATAATATCAAAAATTGATCATTGATACTTATATAACTAAACAATGATTATCGTTGAAAGAAAAAGTCTGGTAATGGAATTCGGATTGGTATTTTTTTTTTTGACTTCATTTTTAATTAGTTTATGTAAATGATTTGGTTTACTAATCAAAATGTTATGAATATAATATCGGTGTATTTTTATTGGAGTAAGCTGCTAACACTTGTTCGAACTAATTATATTATTATGTTCATTTGATCATGGCATGAAAATTAATTAAAACAATAAAAAGAAACTTATTTAACTTTGTATGATATGAGTGGATAGTTTAGTTTAACATAATAATAAATTGTAATAATGCAAACGACATATATTCTAGTCTATCGAATTACTCAATAAAAACAACTTGCTTTTAATGTCTTGACAACTCAAATGATTTAATGAACATAAACGATGATATTCGTTAATATTTCTTATAAAATTATTCGACAGTTAATTAAATAGTAAAAATATTCAGAACCGTAATTACTCATACCTTGACTTACCATATGCATGTTACAAGGTAATCATTGTGTTCACTTATCATAACTACTATCCTAATTTCTAGCAAGCCATTATTGAAAAAAAATGAAATAAAAATCTCAACAATGTGCAATAACTCTATCAACACAATTGTGGACAATTATGTCACGTTTGAATTATTTCTCAAACAACATTACCATGACCGTAAAATTTACCACAATATAATAGAATATCAGTACATAAAAAACCCAGCTCGCTCTCAGAATGAACACAATGCAGTTAATATTGATTGACATTTATTAGACTGGAAGTTGTTTGTTATTTCAGACTGACTAAAGTTTTACTTTGGTCAAGTATGTTCGAATATCTCTACGATTATAGAAAGTATTTCTGTCCGAGTCAGTGAATCATTAATAATGCAGTTTTGGAGAATTTCGTAAAGAATATGAAAACACTATTTCTGTAGTTAGTTTTTATCTTTAATCACCTTAAGATGTATTATTCAGTAAAAGATGATAGTTTACTTTATCTTGACCTTTAAAAAATACAATAATATGTTTATTGCAAAGTAATGTGACTGTTAAATTATTTCAATAATTATTCCATCATTTTTTTTAATTTTTCTATAGTAATCATACCAGCATTAATGCAGACCGCTGCTGCATATGTATGGGCAGCTCAAGTACGTCGTGAAGCTGTAACACCAACACAATTGCAAAATTGTAAAAAAACCCATTCAATGTCAATGAATAATAAAAATCAAAAACAAGTAAGAAAACGCAGATTACCAAAACAAGATCGAACATTATTTCTTTATCGTATTCTAGCTTGTACTGGTTCACTTCTTGTTCTGATATTTTCTACATTACCACAATTAGTGATTGTTGTTGCAAAACCACAAATAGCCGATAGTATAGATAAACGTTGGGGATGGTGTCATGGATTTGTCTATGCAGATCATGTGACAAGATGTTTTGCAAGCTACTTGATTGTGATCCCTTTTCTTCTATTATTTTGGAATTTTTTATTCAGTGAAATCTTACCACGTCATCATTTAATTATGCGTAATGTATTTGAAGTTATCTTAAAATCATCTGTCATTATAGCTTTATTCTCTTTATGCATACCAATACCGATTGTAATAAGACAATATGAAAAAATGTGTACATCTAGTAAAATATGCTTATGTGGACCAACAATGCATGGTATAGCTACATTTATATACTATGATTTTGTGGTGACACGTATTATTCCAGCTGTGTTTGTTATATTTATCAGTATTGGATTTTTACGTTGGTTACCTAGAGAAGATTATGGTGTATTCTATGAACCGGCGATATTTTTAGCTTTCATGATACCACATGTATTGTGTGAAGTTATTATACACATATTTCATCGTGCGCACATAATTGATAAATTAATTAATGTGAATTTTAGCAATTTTATGCTTTTATCATATGCATTATATCATATGTCATTTAGTTGTACATTTGTTTTGGCTACATTACGTTCAATGTTAAGTGAAATACAAGAGGAACGACGTAAACGTAGTATGCTTTTATATGATGAAACTACCGATTCATCAAAACAACAATCAAGCAGCAAAAATAAAACTAAAGTTCGTATAAATGAGAGTAATAATACCACGAATCAAATGCATGGAACTAAACGTCGTACAAATTTAATACATGGTTTACAAAAACAATTCTCTGTAGCTTATCGTTGGAAACCAGATTTTACCGATGAAGAAACTGATTTTATTTCTGGACAAATGGACGAATTATCTATGGAACAATCAACCAATCAAAACATTTCTATTATTATTGACAATGATTCTAATTTGTTAAATGTTCAAGATGAAACAAATGAAAAGTGTACAGATGACGCAATGTTACATTATGCTATATTACAAAGATCAGCTAGTTTAAAAAGAAAAGAACAAGAACAACGTGTAAAACCACAAACAAATACTTCGTACAATATTATGCGAAATTTAAATTCACAACAACATCAGCTAAAACAACAACATACTTAACTTTTTCTTTTTCCCGACAACAAACTGATTAGTCAGTTCTTGAAAGAAAAGAAAATCCTATTAGAAAATTATGAAAACGCTAAACTCAATCATGTCATAAACCAATGTTTCTTTTGAAATAGATTTTGACATTTTTTGACATTTCTATTAGAATTTAATTTCATGACATTATATTATGTATAGAGAACTAAGAATTCATTTTAATTTCTTTGTATTCTTCGTGAAAAATTTTATTACCCTTGATTATTGATTATGTTAGTTCAACCATGTGACAAATGTTATAGCGCTGATTGAAGTTGTTGTATCATTTTATTCCCCAACTTGAATAATTTTAAAACGTGTTGTTACGTGATCAGTTATCGAAATTATGATGAATATGGATAGGATTCATCGCTTTGGTCATTTTGAAATATCTTTAGTAAAATTTGTTATAAACTGTAAATAAATTACCGATTTTCAAACACATAAAACCCATTAGTTCTATGCACTTAAATGATTATGATCAGAATGTCACAAAAAACTTCTTTGATGTATATGTGATAAATAATTTTCAGTAAATTTATTAGCTCAATTTTTTTTATAAAAGTCAAACCATATTTAATAAAACATCGACTTAATAAACTGAACATGATGTTCACCTAACTGGAAACAATATGCTTCACTAAACTGCAGTTCTTCTCTCTTTATGAAGGCCAATGTTTCTTAAGGAAAAGCATAGACTGAGAGATAAAGGGTTACAAAAAATATATTTTTTTGTGAATATCTATTAAAATTCTTAAAATCTAACTCGTGACTTACACAAAGTTATATTGCTTGCGGTATTCCATACTTGTTTGGACGCGATAAGATACGAGATTATTCCTACTTTGATGTTATTTCTATTCATTATAAAATCTGTTGATGAAGTTTAATATTGCAGAGTTCATTGGAACATGAATCATATATACATTTGCTATGAATCCTGGGTTAAATTTAGTTTTTTATCTCTACTAATTCACTTATGTATGAGATATTCGTTGATCGATCGTCAAATATCGGTGATATTTGTTCACAAATAAATGTATTCCCTTGAAACTTCTGTCATACTTTTGAAGAGTGAATAAAAAAATACTTTTTAAATGTCAAGGTTGTGTTTTATCAGCAGCTTTGTTTCGATCGGAATTTTTGTCGGTATCAATCAAACGGTTATTATTCAATTTACAACAATAATTCAATAATAACCTGAAATATTTTCTTTTATAGCTAATTACGCAGTTTTCATCTAAGTCTTTTATATATTTAAATGTCAGCTATAAACCTCTTCTAAGGTGTTTCAAACAAAATATTAACATTGTGGACAAAGTATGCGATACATGTTTTCAATGTGTCAAACAAATTGAAATTCGATTGAAAAGCATTATGTCTTTAAAGAGTAAATAAATATTGACTGATTTTATTAGACATTTGGATGGTTTGTATGGAGTCTCATTACTTCAGTGATTAACCGATTATTATACAGTCATTTTGTAATTCGTGACATCTTCAAAATACTTAGCTTACTTGTTATTCGCTTGTGGGAAACCAGCAATTGGATAATACCAAGAAAATTTATAGACAGTGAATGAGGATTTATTTAAAACCTGGAATAAATAAGTAAACACTACTTTTATTCGATTTAATTACCGACAGATTAACACTCAGATTTGTGTTGGTTGAACTGAGTAGTATTCAATACCAGTTAATCAATAACTCATTGTTTGAACAGTTTAACACTATCGTACAATTAGACGTATTTAACCAGCAAACATAACTCATTCACTTCTTACTTCGTTATTATATGTTAAAGATTATCAGAAAAAAATCGATATCTTATGTTAAGTGCTTCCTCATCATATCATAGTCGAATGCCTTGTTATCGGCAAAGTGTAAAGCCATTCTTTTACAACTGCTTGTTTCAGCTTTGTATAAGTGTGGATAACAATTCATTTATTATCACCGAGTAATCATTTTATCTTAATCAGACTTTAAAAATTAATTAGAAAGAACAGGAACAGTTAGTTATGTAGGATAAAATTCATTAAGAATTAAATGACAGAAGAGCGGTTGCTTAGTAGTCAATCAAATCGTTCAGCTTTCAACTATGAGATCACAACTTCAAATATCATTACAACTACATTGGTCTGTGTATTTGGTTGATAATATTCGCTCACATAAATATGCTGAAGAAGTTACAGCATCAACTAAGTTATTACTAACAACAACTTGTTAATATTTCGTACAGGAGTATGCTCAATCATATGTGCATGTTTCTCACTCCTTGTAACAACGACAATCTCTTACGGGAAAGAAAACAACAATTACAGTCCAGATTCACGATATTCTGTACATTTGATTTTTCTGCTTGCCATCCTGTTAGCTTTATTACCTAAAGCTCTAGTCTAGTTAATAAAAATCCCAGATTATAGAGATAAAATAATGATAGCATACTAGACAGTCAGTGATATTTCACAAGAGTATATTCATATAAAATAATATTAAATGACACAAGAAAATCTTAGTGATGGATTTGACGCTGTATAGATACTACTTAGATTACTAACCACAACATAAATATTCTCATAACAGTTCTCCAAAGATTAATAGATAAAATCATAGTCACGGTAATATAACTGTGCCTATATGCTGAGAATCAACCCTCATTTATTTTAGTTAAGAAGGTTTAATCGATTGAAAATAACAAGGTATTAATTAGTAAATAGTCCTTAAGAAGAAATAGTAATTTAGATAAAATAGAAAACCATTGCATTGTAAATTCGTATTTATTTGTTTAATTTCTTCGAAATAAAAATTATTATTATTATTATTATTATTATTACATTTACCAACGTAATATTAAGGTCATGGTCAATCTGTACAATAAACATATGTAACACAGCGTGATAAAAATTAATAAGAAATGTAATTTGCCTTATTGGCATTCATCTTGTGAAAAATATTAAATCTGTTTCAGAGTTATATACAAACCACAGGTCAGATGTAACTTTTTTTAAAAAAAAAAAATCATATTCTCGTATGGTAAATTTCAGCAAAATGTCCTGTTTTCTTAACCATCTACTACTTTTATTCCTATCACATCTAGGCCGTTTATTATTGAAGTGAAGTGACTTTCTTAATCAATGAAAGGCATTGTAAGAACCATGCTATCAATGAGAATGATAATTTCTATGAACTTTGAATCTACATAATCTGGTGCACAGAATCAAATTAGCTGGTATAGATTAAAATGAAAACTCACACGTATTAGCTTACGAACTAAATTAACCTGACATTTTTATCCTGTCAATACTGGTCTAGTTTTAAAAGTTTTAGAAAAGTCCACAAAAGGTTTTCATATAAGATAATATTCTCAAGATATCGAATTCTTTTTGTTATCAGTGACGTTTGAACATATTTTGTCGCTCACCCTCTGAAGATACATTTAACATGCCACCGAGTCATGTAATGATATTTAAAGCTTCACTCACTTACTAACATACGCCTGTTACCCCTAATGCAGCATGGGCTGCCAACCAGCATTCTGCAACCTATAATGTCCTAAGACTTCCTTTCTAGTTCTATCCTAATACTACTCATTCTTTTCGTGTCTCTATTTAATTTTGGGTGCAGTGTGTTCCTTGGTCTACCTCTCTTCCTTCTGGTTTTTGGATTCCATATTAGGGAGGGCCTTGAGACGCAATAATGTGATTTCTGAAATGTGTCTTATCCACTTTGAGCGCGTTTTCCTAATTTCTTCCTTATCTGAAAACTGGTTTGCTGGTTTGTAGGTTGTTGCTCATTCTGTCTTCATATCTACATTAGATCAACTTTGTCTGTCAACGATGCAGCCGGTTTATGTAAAGGTTTCCAAATCTCCCGAAGCTTCTCAGTCAAGCAAGATTTGTCTTGTGCACATAATGTTGTAACGGAGGATCTTGCTTTTTCCATTGTGTATGTTGAGAATCACTTCTGTAGAGGCTGCTGCTACACTGGCCGTCTTCATCTGTATTTGTTGTTGTGTGTGGTATAAAAGAGCCAGAATCCAAACCGTCCAGCTGTATCTGAGCTGTCAATTGGATTCCATGCTTCCTTAGGGATTTTGACGCCTTCACAACCCAGTCCAACCACCAGGAGAAGAGAAATGGTGAGAGTAAGCAACTTTGTTGTCGGAATCCCGTTTAGTGTTGACTATCTTCTCACGTATAACATAAAGTCGAAGAAGTTTTCATTATGTTCTCCTATTCTCTATCCCAGATGTCTTTTCATAGTCAAGGAAGTTTCTTTGTCGTATCACTTAGTTGTTTCGTGATTACATCACTTTCGGCTGTTTCTGCTATAATTATCAGGTCTTCCTCGTTTTTCCGTCTGTTTACTTTTTTGCTCCTAATTACTTGCTAGTTCGTTTCTGAGTATTCAACCTTTGCCTTGACTTTCTCTGTCCCTTTTTGGCTAATATTAACTGTTATCCTCCTGTTTTCCTTTTCTGAAATCTCAACCACTATATTTACTGTGATACATATGTTGGTTCTCCTTCTGACGCAAAAATTCATGACATGTTGAAGTTATTGCTTCTCCGATCCCTTTCGATTAATCCTCATTGGTAGTTTCCTCTTAACAGAGTAGACCATAAAAGCTTGGAACTTATTGTACCTACATTAAATTTTGTCCTGGTTATCAGGATGGGTATGGGCCTCGTGATTTCCAAAGAAACTCTGCTTTCATCACGAGGCGTCATAACTCTTTTAAATGAAGACCTTACAACTCCCAGGACAGGGTTTAAATGGTTTGAAATATTTGTTCTGGTTATCATTTCTTAGCGCATGAATTTTCTACGGGATTGAGTGGATAACCCTAAGCTCAGCCCTTCTCTTTGATCAGGGCTTGGGACTGTCAGTAACCTTAGAATGGCTCGCAGCGAACTTTTGTAAAGCTCTAGCTAAAATATTATTCATCTTATGATATACTTACTTGGGAAACAGGGAAAAAATTCAAATTAACAATAATATGACAGGTAAGTTAGTAAATACAAGAAATAACAGCATGAGAGCATGAACAAACGTAATGACAGATTAAGTAGGTCAAATTTTTGAAAAATAATCAGAAATATGTGGGTATTTAGTTTTTTATATAAATGGTAATGACGAGAAAGAGATGAAGAGAATAAATAAACAAACGTTAGGATGGATCAATGCCACTGTCTCTTACGCTTCTTCTTGCTATAGAAGGGACATTATAAACGTTGTTTATGCACAAAGACCAGGATTCTCAGCTAAAATACCTACAGCTACCTACCTCTATGTGCAAGAAGTGAGAAAAAATTTAGTAGAGAACTTTTAAATTATTCCATTAATCACTGATAACTTTACCTACTTCATTTCCACTGTCGATGGTATAAAATAAAACTACTTACTAATTTCGTCAAACACGTTCCACACTACAACAGGAAACTTGCTCTGACTATTAAGTTATGTTGTCTGATTGAACACTCGATGTAGCACAGCAGTAGCAGAATCAGTAGTAACGTAAAGTTGTGGCCAGGCTGAATAGCTTATCCTTTAGTTGTGGAACTAATGAAGGCAGATTCGTAAATGATAAACATGAACGAACTGAATTCGCAATCCATTCCACTGAACTACATCATCTATATTTTGTAGCCTATATCATGCAACAATATATTCGTTGAACCGCAGCTTCAAGAAAAAAGAATTTCTTGTAAACAGAAAACCCTGGAAGTAGCCCGTTTCAATCGACATATTACGTTGAAACAATATTTTTTCATTTATAATGTCGTCTCAGAATATCTTTATAGAACCGTTTGTCAGATATCTTATTAGGTTTCTCTTGTAGCATATTAAACAAGAACTTGTAATAACATGCATATGGTTCTCCTTCAAATACACTTCTTTTGATAAACCCATCTTCTTCCAACGGTAAAAAACATTGAGGAAATGTAATTTGTTCTCAAGCCCCTCCTAGTAAGTGAAATCGATTACCGAGTTTACACTTCTAAATTATGATAGAATTTGTTTTTTTTTAATATCTTGATGGGTAGTGAGTGTATCATCAGCGTCATGAAAGCCGAATAACGACAAC